GTGCGGGGCCACCCTGTCACCTTGGACTTGATGTGCGAGCATCTTCTGTTGGCTTTGCGGGCCCTGGTTTCTGGACAGGGTTGGCCCGGGACACTCAGCCAGCAGCCGGGGAGCGGGACCCTGGCCACGCCTCCCCCTGGAGGCCACCCTTCCCCCCCGCCCCAGGGGGTCCTGGTCCTGCGGCTTCCCCTCGTGCTGCCATCCCTAGGTGCTAACTGTGGGCGCTGCTCATACTGTGAGCTCTCGAGTGCTGTGCCCCTCCCAGACTCTGTCCACCGCCCCCCACCCGGCTGAATGTGACATCAGCTTCCTGTCTCAGCGTGGACAGGTCACATTTGTGGCACAGGCCCCCTCTGCTTGCTGCAGTTGAAAGTGGGGGAAGGGGCTCCCCCGCTCCCTCTGCTTCTCTCTCCCACTGCTTCTCTGCATCCCCACCCTCTGCCGCTCCAGGGCCCCCGCAGCGTGCCCACCGACCAGGAATTGCCAGGCCCGGTACCCTCGCGGGTCCGGTCAGCAGATCAGCCTCTGAGCCAGGGAGCAGGGCCCTGTCCCCGAGGGACCCGCGACCCCATCGTCGCGTGCAGCGCCCTGTGCAGCCGCGGGTCTTTGGCTTCTTCCAGTTCATCCACACGGATTCTGAAAGGGCCGGTAGCTGCTTTCAAGGGAGGCGCAGTTATTGTGGGGCGCCCGCGGGGTGGGGGCTGCTCCCCGATCACGGAGGCAGGTGGGGGTGGGGCGCCCTGGCCTCATGGGGTTGAGCGCCAGGGCAGGGTGGTGGGGAGCAGTGAGGGGAGCGGGTGATGAGCGCACCGGGAGGCCGCTTCCCCCGTGCTGGGTGTGCACCCCCCTCCCGGCCTCCCCCCGGCCCCCTCAGGCCTGACTGTGTCCTGACCGTCTCCTCCTCCTGTCCTGTTGGAGAAAGAGTGTGAGCTGCTTCAGCCCAGAATGCTCAGAGCAAAGACGGGGAGGGCCCCTCTGTGCCAACAGCCCCCCAAGGAGGCCGTCCCGGGCTTCGCAGCTTCTGCCGGCGCACGCCCTCTGTCCCTGTGTGCGTGAGTCGCATGCCACCTGTTGGCACAGGCTGCTCCCCGCTGACCCGCCTGTGCCCAGCGAGTCTTAGCTTAGGGGATCTGTACCTAAGACCTGCTTCCCGGAGGGCCCCTCGCTTTTCTGGGTGCTTCCCTCTCATGAGGGTGCAGGAGGGCACCCTATCCTGCCCCACCATCGCCCCATGGGGGGCACTTGCTGGCCTGCCCCCCAGGGCCCCTCCAGACCAGCAGCTCCTGGGCAGCCTCGGCTTGCCAGGCCCCACGATGCCCCACGCGCAGGGCTCAGCACCCCCACCCGGCTCCCTGCAGCCCCCTGGCTCCCCCTCCCTGGGGGGGGGGTGCCTGTTCCTGCACCACGGACAGCTCTGAATCAGATGTGCCCAGGGTCGGGGTGGGCGGGGGAGGCCTGTGCTTTCGCTTTAGCAGGACATAAGGTCACGCGCGCCCCACCTTGGCCCTCTGAGCCCCCGACTCACGCCCTCCCCGGGCCCCTCCCGCTGGAGCGCCTTCCCTTGACTTTCTCCAAGCTTTCTGTCTCCTCTCCCTTCCGCCTGACGGCTTGTCAGCCATGAGCTGTAGATCTGACAGGATGACACTTGTCACGACTGCTCAAGCTGAATCGAGTTCACCCATCTGGTAACGCGTCAAATTATTTCTGTTATTCTGTGCACTTTTGGTTTTGAACCTATTCAGGGGATTTTTAGAAGGCTTGGCTGCACTGCTTGGGTATTTCTGGTTCAGTAAGGCTTGAAAGAGGTGGCCGACTGGGGGCTTTGTGCCAACAAGGGTCGTGAACCCTCTGCTAAACTGTCTGGGAGTTTACCGACCAGCTTAGCCACACACTCAGGCACACGCACACACCCACACCCACGTTCAGATTTATATGCACGTGCTGCGTGCATGCACCCGCAGAGACCGAGGCCAGGAGGGATGGAGAGGCCACGCGAGAGCCGTGTCCAGGGGAACATCGGGGGCAGGGTCTGGTGGGAGCCCACCGTCCTCCCGAAACTCGGGGATGATCGGACCTGGGTCTTGGTTCACTCCCGGATGTCTGCCCAGTCCAGGTCACTGCCCTCTCTGCTCTCCTGGCCCCACTGACCTGCAGCCCTAAGACTTTCACGTCAGCCCCAGCCGCCTGGAGCACCAGGCCCTGAAGGGGGCTGTGGAGACAGTGCAGGGCGCCAGCCGACCCCACCTGCTCGCCGACTGGGTGGGCCTTCCAACCCCACCCTGTGTCTGCTGGCCTCCTCTCCCACCTGCGAGGGCCACTCTCCCCAGCCCGAGGGCAGCTGGCAGCCTGGGGAGAGCCGCTGGGCCCTGGCCGCCCCCGAGGTGGCTTCCTCAGCTCGTTGTAAGCTGCATGACGGACAGTAAAATGATGTTTGTGATGACAGCGGGGTGACGCAGGCCTTAGTGCTAGGACCAGGGTGAGAGGTGCCTTTGGGGCCAGAAGGAGTGGCCTCTTAGTGCCACCAGCGCCCAGCCCCTTCCTCCTGGGCAGCGGTGAGGTCGTCGGCTCCTGCTGGGGCCCAGCTAGCACCTCCCTCTCCCCTTGGGGTGTGCCCCTCACAGCAGCATCCCCCTGGCCGGGGCAGGGAGCTGCCTGGCCCTGTCCGCCTTGTCCTCTGGGCCAGGGTGCCTCTGGGTTTCTGGCTGGACCTGGGGGTTGGGAGTGACGACGCCAGGAGAGGCAAGGCAAGGGTGACAGCCTGAGGATGGGCAGGGAGTTCGGACAAGCCGGACTGTGAGCTGACCGGTGGCGTATCTAGGGGAACTCAAGCCTGCCTGCAGCAGGCACCTGCTGCTCGGACAGGAGCGGACAGTGTGGTGGGCAGGGCCGGGCCGGGCCTCACGGGGAGGACTGGCTCCCAGGGCCACCTGGAATTCCCTGCTACAGCCGCAGGACAAGAGGGTGGAGACGTGGCCCCAGGGCCTTTGAACGGCCCAGCAGGTCGGCCCTGTTATTTGCCACAGAGATATTGATCAGAGAAGTTTTCTGTGTGGCTCGACCATTTCTGAGCCTCGGTAAAAACAGAATTCTAGCAAATGGAAAAATTTAAATAAAAACAAAACAATGGTTAGAATAGATTTTCCTGGGCTTAAAAATAAATGATCTTGTAGGGTGGGGGTAGGTGATTATAGTAACAAATACACATGCGTGTCTAGAAAAACATCTTCCAAGTGATTGAAAGGAGCTCTTTCTGCATTGTGGACAAAGGTTTCTTCAAAACTTTCTGGTTCGCTAATTTTGCCTTGAGGAAAATTAGCGATGCTTAATTTTTCTAAAAAGTGTTTAACTGAAAGGAGAAGAATCGTTCAGACGCCCGCGGTGCTGCTGGAGACACCCCGGGCGCTGTGGCTGCGGGGTGCCCGTGTGGGCGGCTGCGGGGTGCGTGCGTGGGCGTGGTGGCCAGACTCTGCGTGGGCCTCAGGGCCTTTTCTGGATGTGGTCACCGCCTGGCCTCACAAGTCTCCACTGCAAATGGCCTTTGCGGCGGCCGCGTCCCTCCCAGCTCCAAAACACCTGTTGGGATTCTGTCCTCAGGCGTCCGAAGGTGTCCCCATGAGGTACTTCACCAAGCTGGACCAGCTCATCGAGTTCTACAGGAAGGAAAACATGGGCCTGGTCACCCACCTGCAGTATCCCGTGCCTCAGGAGGAGGAGGATGCCGGGGACGAGCCCGAGGAGGAGACAGGTAGGCAGACGCCTTCGGACCTGCCCCCGAGCCCCACTCCAGTTTGTCCCCGCACAGGTGCTCACAGATTAGGCGGCCCTGCTTCAGAGGCCAAGCCCGAGTGCAGGGGCTGACTTCCCGCGCCACCCCCTGCTGAGCTGTGTGACTCAGGGAGCTGTCTTCACCTCTCTGAGCACCGCCCTCTCTACAAGAGGCAGTGACGGTAACAGCTACTGCCAGAGCGCCTCCGGGTGAGCCAGTGCCATGAGCCCATCGTAGCAAGATGCCTGACCCACCGTGAGGGCTCCGTGACGCACGCCCGTCGTCAAGAGAACTGGGGTTTCACCCGAAGGCAGGAAGGAAGGAGGAGATGCTTACACCCCACCGGCAGGATGAGGAAGCTGCTCCTTTTCTCCTTATGAAAAGAGAACTGCAGACCCCATATGTCGGAGGCAGGCCTGCCCTGTACCAGGAGGGACGCTGGCCAGGCCAGGCGGGGCAGTGCAGTGCTCGGTGGGGTCCTTCTTACCCCTTGACGGTTCACTTCCTGAAAGAAAACCCCAGATCCCGAAGAAGTCGAAGTCCGGGGCCTGGAAGCACCAGGGTCGCCCCCAAGAAAGGCAGAGCGCCCTGGGCCTCTCC